TTGGGGAAGAACCTTAGCGGCCCTTATTCTAAAATGCTCTCAAAACAGATCCTCTCCCAAAAAAAATCAAGACCCTAGCCGCATCTCCTCCTTCTTCACTCTCTCAGACCTACACGCACACAAAATTCACTTAGACATAGACTGTTCGTTGACCAATTCTCAGAGAGAACACTCGCTGCACTCAGCTAAATAAAAAAAAACAAAAATTCAAAACTGAAAAGTTCTGAAAGAATTCTGAAATTTGGAAACAAAAGCTTCTGGAAAGAAAGGAGAAATAGGTTTCAAAAGCTCTCAGTACGTGTTTTTGGTTTACAAAAGGCTTGGAAGTTGATCTCGCTGTTGTTTCATTTGTTGATGTGCTATTTCTGTTGCTGGGGTTTCCCTCTATTTCAAACCTTTATTCGGTCAAGTTTGTTTATTCGTGCTATTAGGTATGTGGATTTACACCCGTTATACTTTGCTTTAAATTGAAGAATGAAATATGAGTTGTTTATGCCCCATTTAAGTTTGATTTCATGGATGTAGCATGTGAGACCTCGAATCTGCCTAAAATTTTCTTTCTCTGATTAACCTCGGATGTTAGTAGTCACTGGTTGAGGTAAGAATGCATATTAATTGAGGTGATAAAAATTTGTCTAAAAGTGGAATATCTTTTGATCTGTTGTGAACGTTTGTGGGAGATGATTTTAATGTTTGCATTGACATGGAACATTAGATGCTGCATAGCGGAAGGCTGAACTTCTGTAAAAGGATTTAATTTTGCTGCTGAAATTACATAAATTTTTATTGATACGACATGATTGAAACTAGTTGGTTGAGTTGGTATCAACCATGTGGTAAATCAATTAAATTTCACTAGGTGTAAGTGTAGATTAAGCTACATTGATCCTGTCCGAAAGTTTTGTCTACCAAAAGGCTAGCTCTTTGCCTAACAAATGCTTTCTATATAGATTTTCCTCTTATGCCACTTTTCTTCAGTAGGCTTTTGTTGGTTACACTTGCGAGTTGATCTACATTCGGGGATATTAAGACAGAAGGTAGCTTAAATATTGAGTTAATAAATCATCGTAACTATGAGTACGGTTCTCGTGGCATAGTTGCGATACATAAATCCCAATTTGAGTGCGCGTTTCACGCGACTCGACCACAACTTCGAATAATAATAAAAATAAGCATGTCGTGAATCGCGGGTGCATTTCATGTGGCGCGGTTTGCGGTGTGTGCCAAAATGACAAGTGTACGACATCGTGACTTGTTCCAGAAATAATTTCATAAATAATTAAAAGTGGTTAAAAAGTAAAAATGCACAATAGGCTTTAAATATGTAATAAATCAGATAATTAGGTCAAATATTAATTGTTAAGCGACCGTGCTAAAACCACGGAACTCGGGAGTGCCTTACACCTTCTCCCGGGTTAACAGAAGTTCTTACCCGGTCTTCTGTGTTTGCGGACCATAAAATAGAGTCAATTTCCTCGATTTGAGATTTAAAATAAACCGGTGACTTGGGACACTATAACAACTATTCCAAGTGGCGACTCTGATCAAATAAATAATCTCTTTTCGATTAATGTCACTTTAATTGGAAAAACCCCCTAAACCCCCATTCGGGAAAAAGGAGGTGTGATATTTTCTCCTTATGTTGATTTTTAAAAAGCCCAAAAATCACGATTTAGCATACTAAATATTAAACTGCCTATATTCTCAATGATTTTCATAATTAATTGCTAATTGCCATTGTGTGTTCATAAATAAATTATAATTATTGTGTGCCTTGATACTTAATAGTTTCTCATTGGACGTGGTATTTATTGGAGTAATTTTTATTTTATTTATGAGTTGTTTAAAGTTATATTGGGGGAACGGGTTGCACGCCGCAACGGAAATGAAAGTAAATATATATATTGGGGGATCGGATTGCACGCCGCAACAGACTTATTTAAAAGTATATATTGAGGGATCAGATTGCACGTCGCAACAGACTTATTTAAAAGTCTATATTGAGAGATCGGATTGCACACCGCAACAGACTTATTAAAAAGTTCATATTGGGGGATCGGGTTGCACGCCGCAACAGACTTATTTAAAAGTCTATATATATACTTGATTAAAATAAATATATTGGAGGATTGAAAATGAATATATTGTGGGAGCGGTTTGCACGCTGCAACNCTTATTAAAAAGTTCATATTGGGGGATCGGGTTGCACGCCGCAACAGACTTATTTAAAAGTCTATATATATACTTGATTAAAATAAATATATTGGAGGGTTGAAAATGAATATATTGTGGGAACGGGTTACACGCTGCAACGAAAATTGGTTGAAATAATAATTGGTTATGACTGCTGAGTTGGCTTCAACTATTAAAAAAAATGAGCTATCTGATTTAATTTTATTTTTGTGGTTATTACTATTATTGCGTACAGGTTAATGTAAGTGACCTGCCTTAGCCTCGTCACTACTTCGTCGAGGTTAGGCTCCAATTCTGGAATAGTATTTAGATATCGCAATATTTATGGATTATTCACTATATTTCAGTCTTAACTTCCACATTTGTTTCTTTGTTATTGATAGATTTAAAATTGTTTTAAAATAGATAATATTATTCTAACGTTGGCTTGCCTAGCAAGTGAAATGTTAGGCACTATCACGATCCCGAATATGAGAATTTCGGGTCGTGATAACTTTCTTGACTGTAAGACCTTTTTTCATTGTATGACTTTAATGCTTAGTGTTATTATTCTAGTTGTCATGAGTAGTTTAGCTATATTACTAAGGTTGTAGACCCAATGATGGGTATAATTTATGTGTGTTTACCATTGAATCTTATCTATATATATATATATATATATATATATAATTGAGGGACATCAAAGAGATGATGTGGCATGCTCTAAAGCCAGAATTTGTATTTATTTTTTCCCTCAATTCTTTTGTTATTTTCTTCTTATGTTGATTTTTAAAAAGCCCAAAAACCACCTCTGTAACGTTTGGTCCATACTAAAGACCGAAAAGTAACGTCTATTGCACATTAATGCCTCATAAATAAATCAATGTGTAAAGGTCAGCTTCAATAAACCAATCGTTTCCACCTATTCAAAATCGATCAAAATGCCTCATTAATAGAGAACTGTTTCCCTTTTGTTAGAACTTTAAAAGCCTCACAAATTTTTCTATCAACTATAAAGCCCATAAGCCACCATCAGAAAAATAAGAAAGATATTTGAAAAGGAATAAGGAAGAAGAGGAACTGTTCTGAACATTACTTGGAAGAACATTCGCATTTTCTCATTTTTCTTACATTTTTGAATTTGGTATGTCTGCATTGATTATTTCGTCCCTTTCGGTTTGATTCTTTCGTTTGAACTTTTGCTATTTAATTTTTGTCTATAAATTAGCATGTGTGATTATATTGAGTTAACACATTGCTAATACTGATAGGTTTTAATTAATCTTGTTCTTTCCCTTTCGGTTTGATCTTTTGTAGAAATTTTTACTTTACCTATGGGTTTTTAATTAATTTTGTTCTTTTGTGTTTGATAGATTTTCATACAATGAAAACTCTAACATATGAAGGCAAATTGATAACAAATATTGCCCATATACATGCACGAGCAAAAGTTGTATATGACTTGAAGTTTTGATTTTATTATTTTGTATATATACACAATTGTGGGACATAGCCCGATGATGTGGCAAGCCTCATTGAACAGGAAATCCAATTATTTTTTTTTTATCCTACTTTCCTATTAATTTGCCTATTCAAACGTCACTTCTTCAAAAACCTAAAGTCACGTCCTTTTTCTCTTCTTTCTCGTTAAGAAAACCAAATATGATAGGCTTAAAAATCCAAACTAGAACGTCTTTTTCAAACCGTTGCTTGCAACGTTACAAATAACAGTTTGCTTGCCCGTTTTCTTTTATCTCTTCACTAATGCCTATTAAATATGCCTGAAAGCACAAATTTCTTTATTCAAGTTGAACTTGCCCGTTTCACACCCTTCTGCGATATCTCGCAAGGTTTATTTTGGTACTATACTAAAATATTGTTGAATCTTTGTCAAATACATTAACAAAATTATTTTTTTTTGCAGGTTTGTTGTTGATTTAATCTTCTGATTTTGATATATTAAGTTTTCCACGGGTGAAAATTTCACCAATTTTTTCTTCTTTGCAGATACGTCATAGAATGCTTTGCAAATTAAAAGAATTCCATAAAACATTATATCAGGAATATATTACTTTTAGGTTACTTCATTAGAATCTTTATCTTCAAATGCATGCTGTAATTCGAAAGGGTGGTCGTCCCAAATTAAACTTGATGTGTTTTAATTTCTAGGCTCTTAATTATGGTGCTTGCACGCTTATTAGTACTAATTAACATTTTTGAATTTTTTTTATAAATTACTTACAGTTGATAAACAAGGCAGCAAAGGCTGGATAAGAGTACAAAGTAATTACATTGAAGCAAATAATGAAATGAAAACAAGATAGTTTATAGAGGCAAAAGCAATAACATAGATAGATAGCTAGTATATAGTTCTGTGCTGTCAGTATAATGTTTAATTTTCTTTCTTCATTTGTTATCTTACTGTTGGATTCTAAACCGCATTATGCATAATAGGGCTTTCTTTTTCATGAAAAACTTGGTCTTGGTTATGGTGCATAATTTTTTGGTCTATGTATTAACCTTTTACAATAAATAAAAATAGATATAGTTTTAGCATGTGTGTAAGAANCAATGTTTAATTTTCTTCCTTTATTTGTTATCTTACTGTTGGATTCTAAACCGCATTCTGCATAATAGGGCTTTCTTTTTCATGAAAAACTTGGTCTTGGTTATGGTGCATAAAATTTTGGTCTATGTATTAACCTTTTACAATAAATAAAAATAGATATAGTTTTAGCATGTGTGTAAGAAGGTGGCTAGGTAATTAAGTGTTCTCTGGCTTTTATGGGATGGGTATCAGTTTTTCTAATTTGTAAAATAACTATATCGTTTGGTATGCAGGATGATATATATGATGCCACAAATAGCGCAACGGAAAGTCGGAATATGTTTATGGAAATGGCTAAAAGAAAATGGAAGGTATATTTTAGTAAATTGCTCGTGTATAGGGAGGTGTCTTGATAAATTTTTATACTGTATTTTTCACAATAAATACAGAGTCTTACTTTATACATGAGGTTGAATGTGGTTTTTGGGATAATATCTCTGTTCTTGTAGCTATGAAGTGATTGTGCCCTTCATTGCTTATTTGAGAGCAATAATAGGTAATCTATTTTTTTGTTTGTAGAAGCTTCTTTCTCATAGTTACATTTCTTTCTCATATCATGAAATTTCAGTTATAAGATAAATTTTTACGTTTAGAGACCAAACACGAACGCTGGTATATATAAATTGAGTCTTCTCTCTTCAACGTTGAAAATTAGAGCAAACATGAGAGAAAAGAAAATTTCATCTCAAATTTCATCGTGTGATTAGAGCTTCACATGGTATAATTCGGTGATACTTCTATTGGCAATTGTAGTAATGGAAAAGAACATATGTGTGAGCTAAAATTTGAAGATGAAAGTTTTGAATTGAAGCATGAACGAAAAGGACGTTATCTACGGCTAATGCTGACCTAACACAATGATTTTGAGTTTTATCACAACAACTCAAATTTCCATCTAAATTGACAGCATTTGGTTTTCAGGAAAGTAATCAAAGGAATTGGGTGCTTCCTTTTGTTGAACATGTGATAACTGGTGTTGGAGATCTTTCTTAAGAAACCGTAGATTTTTTAAGACACCATTGCAACCCTTGGTAAAAAGCTAAGTTCCCTTAATGTAACTTTGGTTCTCATTTGAGTTATATACATATTTTAGTACCCATCTTTCTTAATTGGAACAAAGTTAAAAAGCCCCATACTTACATATATAGTATTATCTGCTATTAACTCAAATTTATGAATTAACCCCAAAATATATTGTTTATAAGCACTTTCATTATCATAGAAAGGACGGTTTAATAAATTTAAACCTCCTTTTTTATCACAGCGCGAATCGCGGGTATATTAACTAGTTATTTATATAATTCAGGGACTAGATAAAATAACTTGACACCTCTCGTAGTCCAAGAAACTTATTTATTTTCTCCATATTATATCATTTCCCTACTATTCTTTTCATTTTAATTTATGTTAGAATTTCAAAATTCATGTCCCTTAGATGACATCGTGTAAAAGAAGTCCAATATCCATTACTATTAAAAAGAAAATCAATTACTGCCTAACCGCTCACTTGCAATTAATTCACAGCATATGCCGCCTACTGTTTCTTCAAAGAATGTAGAGTGATATACCTACTCATATTCATAATTACATGCTCATGGTAGTAGAAAATAAAATTAACCTTGACAATAAAGAACTAGTAAAAATAAATTTTGTTGGGAATAAACCACCTACAAAAATAATATTCACAGTAATAGAATCGGAATAATCATGTGTGATGACCCAAAATGTCATCTTTAAATTTAATAAGTAATTCTGTGTTCTGAGACCTCAAAAAGCACTATTTATCATTCATCGACTTGCGTGCGCAGTCCGTACAATTTTCCGAAAAGTTTTTATGTGAAAAATAGATTAAAATGGGAAATAGAGCTTTAAAACTCAACTAAGTTGATTTTGGTCAACATTTTGAGCAAACGGATTCGGATCAATATTTTGAAAATTTCGGTAGGCCCGTATCGTGATTTGAGACTTGGGCGTATGCCCGAAATCAAATTCCGAGGTCCCTAACTCGAGATATAGAATTTTGATGAAAAATTAAAAGCTTGAAAGCTTAATGATTTCTAAGAAATTACAGATGTTGGATTTATTGACCTCGGGTTCATATTTTAGTTCTGGAGCCCGGTATAGGTCCACTATAATATTTATGACTTGTCTGGCGAATTTGGTGGGAATCGGAGTTGATTTGACATTATTCGGACGTCCGGTTGTAAAAATATAAGTTTTAAAGTTTTCTTAAAAACTTCCTTTGATTTCGTGTCCGATTCGTAGTTCTAGGTGTTATTTTGGCGATTCGATCGCGCGAGCAAGTTTGTATGATATTTTAGAACCTGTGTGCATGTTTGGTTTGGAGCCCCGAGGGCTCGGGTGAGTTTCGGATAGGCTACGAGATGTTTTGGACTTTGAAAATCTTGAATTTTGTTGCAGCAGGTGTTCTGACATGTTCTTCTTCGCGTTTGCGAAGGTACTCTCGCGAACGCGAAGAGTAAACTGGACAGCTGGATTTTTCTTCTTCGCGAACGCGAAGCGAAGGGGGCATTACCCTTCGCGAACGCGGCCATCTCCTTGCGAACGCGTAGTGTTAGGCACACCTGGGGGAGGGTCGATCATTCCTTCAGCGCGAACACGAACTATGCCTCGCGAACGTGAAGGCCAGGGGGGAAACCTTCGTGAACGCGAAAGCCACGGGCTTCTACTCATCGCGAACGCGACAGGCTCTTCGCGAACACGAAGAAGGCCTAACCCCTGTGACTTAAAACAGAACCAAAAACGGGATTTTTCCCATTTTTCACAAACCCTCAATT